TAGCTTTGGAAGCCGGAAATATTTAGGCAGTTAGTGCCCTTTATGATTTTTTGTTTTCTCCTCTTCCATTTGGGGATATCTCTTACAGAGATAGGGTGTGCTTATGTGGTAATGATTACAATGTAAGATTAGCCTTGCTTCTTCCAACTCTCTACCCTGTAGAATGAGGCAGGGGCATGAGTTCTGAGTGGAAGCAATGTATGGCAGTATTCAGCTGAAAGGTTTTGAAAGCATTTTTCTTACCCCCTCTCTCTCCTGATGTGGAGAAATCAGGGATTCCAATGTATGGCTATAATTATGAAAGTGTTATAGCTCTGACTTGTTTTTGTAAGAGAACTGCTCTTGAGAATAGCTGGAATCAAGGTGTGCTTAAACCATTTTGTATCAAGGCACCAGGTGTTCATGCCTCCTCATAATCTGCAGGATACATGTCCAGATACACTGATGGATTGTGGACTGGACACCTGTATCTTCCCACTTACCCCTAGACCTCACTATCCTCACACTGTGTTTCTCCTCTCTCTCAAAATCTGTAGAAGTTACCATTGGTGGTGCCCTATGTAGCTTTTAGATCACATATTTTCTACAATCTTTTCATTCCTTTTTGTGTTTGCAGTCAACACACACATTCAGTATGATTCTGCTCAGGCTTTCATTAATAAAATAACTACGTGGCTTCAACAACATATTTATTTTCTGTGGCCTACAAGTTCCCAGTCAAGGATCTAGCAAACTTAGTTTTGGTGGTTTTTCTTTGGCCTTTAGATGATGACACAACCTTTTGGTTGTGTCCTTGTGTTCTCTTCTGAGAATACATCAGGGTGGGGAGGGGAGAGAGAGAGAGAGAGAGTGAGTGAGCGAGAGAGAGACAGACAGACAGACAGACACAGACAAACACACACACACACATACAGACAGACAGACAGACAGATAGAAAAACACAGAGAGAGACAGACAGAGAAACACAGAGAGAGAGAGAGAGAAAAAGAGAGAGAGAGAGAGAAAAGAAAAAAGAGATGATGAGAGGGAGCGGGGAGAAGTGAGGAGAATGACAGTGAGGTATATAGAGATCCTAGGGAGAGGTCTACTCTGTCTTCATGCTCTATACGTTCTTTCAGATTAACTCTCCACCATTTGACCTCATTTGAGCCTAATTATTTCTCTATAGGCCTTGTCTTCAAATAAAGAAACACTGAGGGTCTTATAGGATCAATGTATAAAGTTTGGATTATGTGCACCATTTAATAAAAAATAGTTATCATGTCCCATGCAATCTACTGTTGAAAATATGTCTTTGAATATTTATTCTGTCCTCTTTGCTATTACAAATACATCAGTTGGCTTTGTTCCTGAAGGAATAAAATGTTGATTTAATGAACAGTGCATTTAATTTTCTCCCTGTCTAGAGTCCATCAATATTTCCAGTTCTATTTGTACTTTTTTGTAAAATATAAACATTTTACATATTGGTGTGAAAACAAACTTTTTATTCAACATGCTAGTACATCCAACTAAATACATTCTACAGCCTCCTCATTCCACACTGTGGCTGCAAAATGCTCCTTATATCGCTACGAACTTTGGAAAATCCATTTTTCACTGGGTGACATTTATGATTTTCAAGTTTTCTCCCAGTAAAATGTACAATACAAAGTAAAAATTTGAAATATACGTGATAAAAGATTTTACCAATACATATGATAATAACCAAGTCCCCAAATTCCTAAAGACTCCACATTTGCGATGCTGCCAGCATGCCAAGGGTCTGCGGCACGCCTGCGGCACACCTGCGGCACACCTGCGACACTGAAGGTCATTGTTTTGCACCCCAGCTCTCTACTTCCTAATTTCTCTCTCCCACACTACCGCATGGAACTTCTCAGGGTTTCACAGATCTAACAATTCTAAGCCCCGCATGCTTTTCTGGTGGCCAGAGTCCTTCATAATCTGGCCCTTTTTGCTTTCCTAGCTTTTTTGTTTCAATAGCCTTTACTTTTTGCTATGCCAATACAAAGCACTTGCAGTTCCTGCACTATGCTTTATGATTCAGTGCATTTCATGCAGCACAGCTCTCATTACCCCTCCTGTGGAAGATGGTGGTAGCCTCCTGTTCGCTTCTTGCTAATAGAATTATTACCTCTTTCTTTCAAAACCCAGTTGAGATGTCACTTCATCTGAGTTATTAAGAGCCTTGGACATATTTCTCTTGTGGACTTATTAAAGGAAAAGAATAACTGTGTGAAAATAAGGAGAAAGATCATTCTATGCCTTAAGCATAAGTAGAGCAAGGTCTTTAGAAATGTGTTTGATAGATTTCATGAGCTGTAGGAATGTGAGTTTAGCTGGGGCGGGTGAATGGAGGGGAGAATAGGTGGTGCAGAATACAGGGCATCGAAGAGTAAGGCAATGTGGGGCCTTCGGGTTCTTGTGGTGGAATGCTGGTGCTTCACAGTCAACGGTATCAAGTAGGGAAGGATGTCACCAAACTAACATATAAGGAAAGTGCTTATTCTAATATGAGCAGGCTATAGAGCAAGAGTGTGAAGAAATAGAAACACAGACCACTGCAGTTTCAAATGGAAAACAGTAATTAATAGCACAATGACAAGTCATCTGTCTGCAGGCTATTGTTCTGATAATTTCTGTAGATAATAATTATAATTGCCAATAGGATTTTGAAGAACACTGTAAAGTATAGCAATCAGTATACCTTAAAATCACCGGATTCCAAGGTAAAACCTGTCCTATTTACAATGACTAATAATTAGTCTCATTGTATTTTTTACAGAAAATTTAGTAATGTTGAAGTAGATCCATTTATATCTGGTTTAGGTAGAGATCACAACAACAAGAAGAGCTGACTGTACAGAGCCAGGAGAAAGGCTCTTGTGTGAAGGGTCATTTGATGAAGAAGCTTCTGCCCAGTCCTTTCAGGAAGTGTTAAGACAGTGGAGAGCTGGGAGCCACAAGGACCAGAAGCAACCGGACTTACTTTCAGCAAAACCAGGTATGGCAATTATTTATCATTTACACCTGATCACATGGGGTGACTTCGTTTTGTCTCAGTTGTCTGTGAGTATAAATGCAGTGCTTGAAATAGCCATCCGCTATAAGTTCTCTAACAAGTGTGTGTTCTGTCTGATGGTGTCAGCTTTGCAGACTCTGAACTGGGTCCCTCGTGGCCAATTTGTTTCCTGTGTCTGCTCAGACTCTGAGATGAGGGCATATTGGATTCTCTCAGCTTTTCTTCTTCTCTGCCATTGGGACATCCATTCCATTTTAGAATTGTAATGGCAACATGTAAAATGGAACAATCTGCCAAGTAGGAAAATAAATGGTTTTCTTAGATGTCTACTGTAAGGTGTGATTTCAGGGACCACTGTGAATTTTAGGTGGAGAATTGATTTGTGTTTAAATTTCTTTCTCTCTTTTGAAGAACTATTTTAATTCCCTATGTTTTGCTTGACAACTTTCGCTCTTATATTGCAGACACTGAAGATCTCTGGATAGCTGAGTGAGCAGTATCTTTGCTTTAAGTTTTCCAAAACATTTCTTGAAGACAATCATGTTTTTACAGTATGATTTATTAATTTTTAACTGAACTTTGCACTATCTTTTCATTGAGTCTTACTGAATGTAAAATAATAATCCCCAGTACAAAAAATATAAGCTAATAAATTCCAATTATGTGTCTTTCTTGATGCATTCAATTTTATTAGGTTACTTAATTTATTTCTAGAGAAAAAACGTGTATTACTGTTCTTCTTTAATATAGTGACATTTTTAATGTTAATATATGTGTCTCTCTTCCTAATAATAATTAAATTTTTTACTAAAGTACTCTCCAATTAATTTTCTTATATTTGTTTCTGATATATTGCATTTGTAATGCATATATTTATATTTTTACTCTTCTAGTCTGAGATTCTGCCAACAGCTTACATTTTAATATACTATGTGTTACCTTTTATAATAATGTATAATGTTCTATGTATAGCAATTTACCGATTTTTTTTAGTTCTCAGCAGGGTCAAGGTTATCATGGCCATCTTAGGTACTTGTGTGCAACGTATCCAAAGATAATTATGTAGGTGATTAAGCAGCATAGATATGTTATCTCCATTGTGAGTTTTTCAATAAAATGTTGATGAAAGTTTTCAAATTATTCCCTAATATATTCCTGTTTCAGATCAGTTGCATTCTTACTGGCAACATATGAGGTGGCTATTTCTTCTTATTTTCTATTCTTAGCCTAATTCATTATGATAATCAATGAATAATTTTTTTCTCATCTTAACTGACTTCTATCCTTATATTTAAAAATATGTATTGGTCAGTTTTTCAATATCCTGTTTCTTGTGTTGCTGATATTTAAAAATGAAACCTTATGTTTTAGAGTTTTGCAAAATTGCTCTTACATCAATTGGGTGGGCACGTGGTGGGTGTACGTTGTGTGCTGGGGGAGTGTAATGTGACAGTGCAGTCAGCATCTGTTCTGAAATTTACAGGGCGAGAGGAGGCCAAAGCACCAATCCAGGGGTTAGCATAGCTTGAAGGGAGAAAGGCAAAGTCAGTGTCCACACTGGGCTCAAAGAAGATGCACTTGGAAAGCTGTAGCATGTTGTCAATTGTTTCACATAAATAGACAGCAAGTAAAGACAGAGGTTTTTAAGAGTAGTAAATGAACACACATCAAATCTATGATAAATTCATGAAGCTTTATTATTATGTGTGTGCACACAGGATTTGGGTCTCCTAATCCTGATGGTCCATTTTCAGTATACATTCAAGTACTCCAGCTCCTTGGGGGTGCCAGGCTGGTTGAATGAAGCCTGGAACTAATTTTACAGTGGTGGAGGGTGAGGAGTGGGAGTTTGCCTGACAATGGTAGCTGAAGAAAATTGGTTCTGAGAGAGTGAATGCTGCAACAGTTGACGTGCCTCAGACTCAGCTGTCCTGTAACTATAACCTGGGAGGGCCCAAACGACACTCTAGTTATCAAGTCAGTAAGCACCACAACCCTTAAGGAGAAGTTGTTGTGGCTTCTCTGTGTATGCCAAGGATGATCAGTAGAGGGTGCCGCGGTGGAATTAATTTGCCTTATATCAAAGGGATAACGGGAACCTGGACTGGTAGAGACCAAGTGTTGACAGACAAGCATAAAAATGCTGCTGGTGGTGGGATTTTCACAACGTGGGACATAGAAGAGTAGTAATCTTATGGTCCAATTTTCAGCTATTTGTGCTATTATTTGGAGTTACTGGTAATGAAAAACTTAAAATAGATTATTAGTTTATGTGTAAGGTTTTAAAAAAAACTTCCCTCTGATGTACAAAGGCCTGACATGGGCCACTACAATGGGAAGGTAGTTTTACAGTCTTGCCAGACCTAAGCCTGTCCGTAGATCCAAGCCTCTCAAATGAAGCTAGTCCACTGAGGGATCCTCCAGTGTGGGTGTTCACTGTGAATCTGGCCCTCCCCAGCAGAAGTCAGTGGCTGTCTACTAGGGTAAGCATGCATGAAGAAACGCAATGCACAGAACTTCAGAAGCAGTCTTAAGTTTTAACTCTGAATTAACACTTCTCCCTGAATCCAAAATACTTCTGGAGAGTACCAGTTAGCATTAAAAATTGATGGAGCTGGGATGATTACGGAGTCTTATCTCAGTCCAACTCACACAAGGTGCACTGGGAGCGTGACATGCTATAGGATTGTTTTCCCAGACTGGAATATATACTGAAAATGGGTCAGAAGGGGAAGATTACCTAATTAATAGTCTTCCCTATGGCATAAAGACTGTTACAGAAGGGCACAAGTTAAAGTTTTCAAAAGTGCCCCCACCATGTACTGTACACTAAAATAAATGCCTGAAGCAATACTTTATATTTTGGGACTTGCAGATATTAATGCCATTATCAAATACTCAAAAATGGAGTTTTTTAAAAAATATATTGAATTTGCTAATTTAGGAAAATCTCAAGATTATGGAATTGTTATTGGATTATAATAAACTTTATCAGTTGAAAGTCACGGTTGATCTTTTTTCTTGGCTGTGCTCTCTTTACCGGCTCTGTGACTACTAAACAGCTGGGGGTCCTCTGCAGAGCTCACGTGATGTCTTCCATGAGGAGGCCACTCAGAATTACACAGCTGCCTAACCTTGCTATTGCAGCAGCAAACTAGCCATAAACAGTTCATGAATGGATGATTATATCTGTGATCGTGTGAAATTTTACCTATGAACGCAGACATTTGGCTGTATGTAAACAATAGGCCAGACTGAGTAGAGGGTCTACTTTGCTGAATCCTGATGGAGAAATGCCTTTTTAAATTTCTGTCAGTTGGATACAGTTTTTCTAATGTGGCAGGGATACATACGTGCTGTTGTAATACCATCCCAGAGCTGGGCTAGTTCTGCCTTCTAGCATTATGTTGTCTTAAAGGAACTTGGTCACTTGGGGTTGCCCAGAGACAGTGCTTGACCATTAGATTGATGGCAGCAAGCTAAGTGGATTTGGCGAGCAGGGACCATATATTACTGGGTGACTATATTCAACCTTTTCCATAATTGAGGGGGCTGTGATTTGTCCTCATGGGGGAAGCTACATACTCGAGAGATGGATCTTCCATCTCTGCTTGCAGTGTGCCTGCCGGGGAGCCTTATTTATCATGATAGTATCCTCTTAAACACCCCTTCAGCCCAAGACACTCATTTTATTATGCCAGAGCTCCAGCTAGTACTGCAGAATTGACTGATCTCACCATGGGCCGCATTGTTTCCACACAGCTGGCGCAACAGTTTCGTGGACTGACCTACCGAACGAATGCTCAGTGTTGATCTGGCAGAGGCAGTACCTCATGATGTGGGGTGCTTTTCCACGTGGGTGCTGTATGTTCTATGAAATTCCAGCCATTATTCCATTTAACTAGTCAAGTTCTAGACTGGTTAATCACTAGTCCTGCCTTAGATCACTGAATCCACTTACCAGAAAGGGGGGGGGGTCACTGTACTTATTTTGCTGGTTGAACATGATTACCAAGATTACCAAAGAAATCGTTGTGCTGCTCTATACAACTTCTTACAAATTGCATTTGGAACCCAGAGATTCACTGGGGCACATGGAGTGCCTGTAAGGAATAATGCTCAATGGGTTGGCAAGGCACTAGAGAGAGGGCCTCTGTTCTTATGAGTCCTTTGAGAATATTTGGAAAGAACCTGCCAAAGTCCTAGAAGAGAGTAAGGTTAATGTTGAATGATGGTGTTGGATGGAATCTTTGATAAAGGAAATGGTCCTTCCTAAATGTCAACAAAAATGTAGACCACACCAGCTATGTTTTCTATTGAGTGGTGCTGCTTATTTCCCCCTGTCCTTTCCTATGCTACTTTATATGAAGTCAATCAGTGGTGATCAACATAGGATAGTAGGCAATTTGGAGTGTCACTCGGTTGAAATCCTGTGAGACACAGTAGCTGCCGAACTTTCTTTTCTCTATGCTTCAAGTAGGAGATTTTTTTGAAGTGTGGAGAAGCAGTGATGTTTAGAGGAAAAATATGTAGGCCATGCCGGCCACTTGCGGTTTGTCCTTCCACATCTGTTCTCTGCTAGTTCCTCTTTGCTCTGTGCACCAAGCAGGTGATCTCTAGATACTTGATTTCTGGTTTATGACTTGTTTCTGTCAAAGGGTGAAAGTGACAGGACATTGGAGGGTGAGAAGAGAGCACCTTTTGGGAGCTGCTGTTTTACAGTGATTGTGTCCTCTACTTATGTTATGAACTTTCCTCCCCGGGCTCCTCCACAGCCATTGCTTTCAGTATTTTTGTTGGTTTTCAAAAGTTCTTCTATATCTCTTCAGGTTTAGATTTGATCCCAGCTGTCCCCATCATCTTCAGCTTGGGTGCTTCAGCATCAATTATTATTATTATTATTTATTATTATTATTATTATTATTATTATTATTATTATTATTATTTTGTGTGGGGTCTCATTATGCAGCTTGAACTCGTAGTGATCCTCATGTTTTCAGCCTCCCCATCAGTTATTCTTTTAACCTCACCACATCATTATAAGTTGGCCCATTTATTTGATCCTTTTTGAGTTACTCTTTAAAGTATTTTTGTGCCAGACCTTTGACCTATAGAGAGAGTCTTAAAAAGACTTCCTAAGAAGCCAGCCCTTGATTTAAGATCTAGAAAATGTGATGGAGAGTGTGGAGAGAAAATAGCTCACGGAAGGAGTATATCATAATGTGGAACTGCAGGAAGAGGTGGGCAGCTGAGCCCTAAACAGGGAGAGCATAAGAGCACATGATTCCAGGCAGCTGGAGACACTGCTCACTAGCCTGGAGTGGTAGAGATGAAGTCTGGAAGGCCAAGGAAGGACAGCAGAGACACAGAAGCAAAGCTGACAATGTGGGCTATAAATATCACCAGCAGGTCTTGTTTTTAATAAGGAAGTACGGTTTGCAATATGGTTGCTGTGGGGACATCATTAGGGTAAGGGCTGTCATTGATGATAGTGTTTAATAGTTTGGCTCCAGGGTATGATGTATGGTTGACCTTATATATGTATTTGATAGTATACATCTATTGTTTATTTTTGGTTTGGGAATTAGTTCTTCAGTGAGAGATAAAATATGTGCCAGCAAAAATCAAAGTTGTATTATCCAAATTCACTTCAGACAGAGATGATATAAATTCTGTACACAATTTGACCCTGCTGTAAACATTAATAGTGTTAGTCAAAACCACATCTTTACATTTATGTCAGGCTGCTGTATCTTTTTTTTCAATAATATGTTAATATGGGATTTGGAAAATGAGCCTCAATGTATAAAACTATACCAAAATGAAACCAGAATAAAAAATCCACAAGTTTATGTATTTTCCAGTTAAGCTTATTTATATTTACATTTTGGGAATTTTAAAAATTTTATTTATTTTTATTTTTTAAAGAGAGTTAAAAAAGCTAAATGGGGGCTGGGGAGATGGCTCAGTGGAATAAGCGCTTCCCTGGCAAGTACAAGGGCCTGAGTTCAATCCCCAGTTCTGCCCCCCAAAAAAATAAATAAAAAAGTTAAATGTTAAAACAAAGAATTTCACTAAACAAAATAAAATGAATATCACAGTATTTGTTGTACTGCATAGTATTGCCTTGGGATTAGTTGTTCATATTACCAGATATATGCACGCAAAGTTGGGCAAAGATAAAAAATAAGAAAAATGTTATAAGAAGTTGAAAAGAGAAAAAGAAAAAGGAAAAGGAAAAAAGATGACAAAAAGTTAAATATTAACTGCTTCTTTCCACAGACCAGCAGAAATCCATCCAAACTGTCCTGCTTACCTACATAGACACATCTCTTTCCCCCACTCCCTCTCCTGTCCATCTCTTCATCTCAGTAATTCCATTCTTTTGAGAAAGTTCAATTACATATATAAAAAATAAACAGATATGTACTTATCATTTGCTGGGCCTATGCTGCATTTTTTTAATACTATAATTATCTTATAAAATAGAAACTATCATTTTCATGTTAATTTTATTTTTCTTCTAAAAATTAATTTTACTGTATACTGCTGGTGTACATAATATTCACATTCATCCCAGGAACTTATTCTTCTTTCCCCTATTCCCCTCCCTTCCCTTCTCCTCCACACCACATGTACCAAATCTTTCTTCCCCCCTTTTTCCTTTTCCCTTCCTTCTCCTCCCCTCACCTTTTGCCTTGTTCCCCTTCCCAATTGGACATTCTCTTCCCAGTTCCCAAAGCTAGTACCTCCTTTCCCCCTCTATTTTCCCACATGAGAGAAACAATATGATGCATATAATTGTGTGCTCAATTCATTTCACTAGAAATCTCAGGGTACACCCAGATATCTAAAACTGGCTCAATGATTATATATATAT